CTTCCTGTCTAGTTGTCAGTGCCGCCACCACCAACCCAAACATCACAGCAGGTCTCACTACCATCTTGTAAAGCTTCCCTTTCACTCTTGCTCCTATCCTTCTGCTACAAATCACCCCTGACACTCATCTCCACCCACTCCACCCACTACCTGCACGCTCTTCTCCACCTCTCATGTGCACATAGTGGGTGGACGCAGGTATTTTAACTCATCAACCTTCACTGTCTCTGCTCCTTGCATGTTCATGTTTCCACCTGTCTTCCCCTCATTCACACACATGTATTCTGTTTTTCTTCCACTGCCTTTCAATCTTCTTTGTGCACTGGAAAGAAGAATGAAAGGCAGAACTCCTCCACTGCTGCAGGCTCTTTTTGCACCTCCTCCCAGCTTTCACTACAGATTAGAGTGTTATATGCAAACATAGTCTTTTCCTTTTCCTTTGTCCTTCGCCCAACAGCAGCACAGATTCCACTGATACCCTGTTGGCCAGCAGGATCAGAGACTGGGCCCGGATCAATCCAGTATGAATCTTGCCCATTCTTGATCATCCACCTGTTTGAAATCTAACGCTGACACAGGGTGTGCACATGAGAATTTTAGTCTACCTCTTTGAGTCAATAATGTGTTCCCCAGCTTCCAATAAAAAAGGACTTTTTAAACTACATAAAGGCTTTTGGGATCTCATAGCACTAAAAGCAACAAGTAATGTCTTTTCAAGGCAGTGTATCATTTGTTGTTGTTTACAGTTTTTGGAGTGCCTAGAGAAAAGTGATAATACCTGGCTTAAAAAAACGTTTCTCGCTGTTTACCATTATACTGTCATTATGTTCAGCAATAACAGGAAATGAGAAAAAGCTCTGGATCTCCTGTGACCATGGAAACGTTTAAACATCTGGCAGAAGCACACAGCCCGTGTTATTCCTGACTGAAACATGTTTGTGGGAGCATGCATGGTTAAACATCTGTGACACATGTGTGTCAGTCTTCCAGTTATCTGTCTGTCTTTTTTTGTCTCTGTATGAGTTTGATTTGGCTCCGCTCAGCGTGACCTTTGACCTCAGAAAGTTGATGTCGGGGCTAAGTGTGCCTTTACGAGAAGTCCGTGTTATCTGAGTCCCAGCGAGTCGGTGGAGATATGCAGCCCAGTGTGTGTGCGTGTGTTTTGTTTATTTGTGACAGTAAACTCAGAGATAAACACATCAAAGCTCTACGTGACTCGAAGCATGCAGCCGGATAATAACTCTTTTTCTCTGGCACAAATACACACATATTACTGCCTGGCTCAAAGCCCAGGGAAGGAGCTGGTAGACCTGTGACCTACATCAGAGGATGGCCCTCTCCTTTATTCTCTGCATGCAGCACAGAAGGACATGTTTGTGTCCACAAGATTATTATCATAGGGAGACATTTATAAACTATTACCCTGAGACATTACACACACACACACACACACAAACACACACACAGACACACACACA